TCATTTTGCAACTGTTTTGTACGATTTACAGTATGGTTGAAAACTTTTTTTTTTTGGAAACGGCCGAAAATACATGCGCGCGCATGTCATCCATATATTCAAATCAACATGGCCTAAGTAGAATTTCATGATCAGGGGACGGACAGAAGCCCGCAATGCAGTAATCCCCGTATGTGCAAAGCGAAGTAATTATGTCAACATGTGAGGTTAATTTACTAGGACGAAAAACTGCAACCTCAACGCCAACATTGCTAAGGCTGCTACTTGGCAGGAGTAATGCCGACTTGGTGTACTTGCCCTGGTTAAATAAAATGAGTGAATGTGTGGTTACGGTGCGTCGTACGGGGAGTCACGACAAGAAGACAAATCTTTGTGCAAGTTAGTCATGCAACTTAAATGCAATGATTTTAGTCGATTTTTTTTGTCAATTTGTACCTTTAGAGATGTTTTTGATCATAAGATAAAGATCTACCTTTTGCACATACTACAAGAACTTTCAAGTAACATTAAGATAAATCTTAATATTGTTTCTTGCTCCGTGAGATTGATATCAAACATTTTAGAAAAAAAATATCAAGATTGTTCTTAGATTTCTTTACGAAAAGCTTAACAAGGGCTTTGGATGAACTTCATGTCGTGTTGAAAAAATTGGCATTCGCCTTACTAACCTGTACCTGTGCGTCATGATGAAGAGAAGTCACCATCTTTAAACTCTGTCAGATTTTGGTGTTTTGTCGCTGGTAATTGGAGATCGCAAAGACGCTACTCCGCTGTGACTTACCGTGTGGCGGAAGATGACCCGGCCTCTTTAGAGGTGTATGCGCTTGAAAACTTAAGGTAAGATGATTTGGTGTTGTTTTATTGGCCTATGCCATAGCTAATCCTATGGTAATGTAGGGTTGATGAGATTGGCTACGTTCGATGTGCGAAAGTTGCTATGCTACTCTTCTGTACTGACCAAGCAGAGACTGCTTTGATATATTTTTCGTTATGCCAAGATACAAAAAGAAAAGCTGACAAACTATAAAGCTAATCAAAAACGTTTGAAGACAGAAGATGAAGTCCACTTTGCAGTAGCTAGATTGTACTTTATATAGTAATGATAGAAATTATCTTTTTAAGATATATTGTCAATGTCATATATTACAAGAACGTTACCATCTCTCCCATCCCTGACTAATAAGGAAAAAAAATCATCTTTCTTAATATGGGCTTTTATCATCCTGTATTAAACAAACCCATTTCAAATTATATACTTTATTTAACATCACACAGAAACGAGAAGAGGCCGAACCTCTGTATTAGAGTAGTTTTAGAGCTGTTTGTACTACAGACATGTATGTACCTTTCATCTGTTCACCTGTACTTAGCCCGATACGCGATAGGGCATGAATGTACAATAATAAAGGTTATCTGCTTTATCATCTTACGATTGGTCTCGGTGTTAACTAAGCGGGTACGGTCAAATACTGAATAAGGTATCCTGACGTACCGGGCTTAAATAATACATTCCCTGATGACAAGACTTGAAGTATTCCATCAAGTGTTGTAAAGTTCGTTCTTGTCAGCTACGCAGCGAGTCCTGGTTTCTCCTTGACCTTGGAGACGAAACCTGGATTTTGCGCCCTTGGCCTTGACATGTTTGTAGGCTTCGCGGAGCTGCTGCTTCTTCTCCTAGCTGGATCGACAGGTAAGTGCTCACTGATTCTGACGCCTGACTTTAGCTCTAGACGGTAGGTACGGCGCGGAACAACTTCCCTCTCAGGCATTGAGTCGAATTTTACGATGATCGGATTACCATTTCATACGCTATATGCGTTGGACATTAACGAAGGAGAAATCAATTCTGGCATTCATGACACCCAGTTTGTCGACAAGTAAGTTGTAAGCTTCTTGTACCACAGCTTCCTCTGCCTTGAAAATGAAATACATCACCACATCAAAGTAAACGACAAAACAATATATTAAAGTCTTGTCTTCATATCGGATCGGCCATCCACGTTCCGGCATGGCAACAGGCATCTTTGCCCATTTTCGGCATTTTGACCACTGTTAGGGGGCAACAAAATTTCTTGTTTTTTTTCCCCAAACTAGGCGAACATTAAAGCGTATTGACTTGAAACTCGGAATTCATAATCGAGAGACATAATTCCGAACAGAACTTTGAAGGTGACACAGCTAGGACCTGCCCAGTATAGATGATTATTAAAAACCGGCAATATATAAATAATATAAATTATGACATGACATCGCGTGTTTGGGGGGTGGTATCTGCATTTCGCCCCCGAAATCGGTAATAATTATACTGACAGTAAATAGAATCTCTGCTCTTTCACATACATTTCCTGTCGGATCAAAACCAACAACACGTTAAAAATAAAAAGGCAATTCGCACTTATATTCGGGTGGGATTTATCAGACCGTATTGGTAGTTGTTATACCGCCCCTAACGGCGTGATATACCCTTCGGGTGAGGTTATTGAAAGACTAACGAAAGGTCATTGGTTAGAAATTTTATAGGAGTAGTAAATGAAGCTTAGATACTAGTATTATGAATAACTTTAGATTAGGAAGACACATGGTATTAGAGTCCAGCGACAACCTTTCAAATAAGGCGTGTCAGACTCGGCGTGTCAGCCCCCGAAATCATGGAACGAACTACTTTCTCTCGCGGAAGCGAGGCTGTTGTACGTACACGCATCTGTATTAGTGCGCGTGTTTGTTTGGTTAGTAACAAAGCATGACCTTTGACATCTATTGTCAGTATGTTAATTAGTGACGTCACCAAAGGTTATTATCCAGCGTGGGTTTAGAAGTTTGGTCACGCGTGGGTGCAGCTCCGATAGAAATGTTCCACTTCATCGCTCCCCGAAGACACGCTGCAAGGTAACTGATTACGCTTATAATAGTTTGATAATTCTCATCTGTTTTCTCTTCTAGTATGCTATGCTTAAGCTTTCTGCCTTTTTATGACCTTGCTAGATAGGTGTTCTTTATTTATTATTTGTTACTTTCAGGATTAATGTTTCGTAAGTTTCAAGCCATCAAGGACATTGTACAAGTCTTACAGGCTTCTTTCCTCCTCCTGCACTCTGTTTATTTCTTTGTTTTGCATTTGTTGATTAATGTTTTTATTTGTGCAAAGGGATAAATGAAAACTGCAATATTTGGAGCTCCTTGCTTAAAGCCAAGTATTGATTGCAGCAAAAACGCTACGTTGTTGTCAAACTTTTGAATATCACACACCAGGAAGCACGAAATACGCTAGAGCTGCATGATACACCAGTTGTTTGACCATTTTCCTCCTTCAGCTTACTTACAAGTGTGTAATATCTTATCCCGAGCTATCATTGTTGTTGACTATAATAGTATAATACTATTGACTAAGCACGAGATGCATGCGCGCAACGCCGATCGTAAATGGCAGAAATTGCGCACGCACAACCAAGGCCTGATTCGGCTCTACGCGCGCGCCAACACATTCCCCAGGCTTACCAGGCAAAGTGCGCGCACCGCCGCTACTGCGTGGCGCTATACGCGCGCGCGCAGACAAGGGCCGATCTGGCAGGTTTCGCGTACCAACAAAATCCATAGCCGTACCAACAAACTGCGCGCAGCGCCGCTAGTGGGGGGCGTTATGCGCGCCCGCGCGCAGCGCCGCTACGGCGTGGCCACTTGCGCGCGCGCGCATCAGCGCGCGAAATCGACCAATATCGGGACCCCATTCCTACCTGACTTACTGCAATAATATGTCCAGCCGCTAGTCGACGTCAGTCAAAAAACAATTACGTTCTTTCACTTCAACATCTGCTTGGAGACATCCGATTTCCTATTGAGAATTTTAGTTGACCGTTTACATACGCTTATACTAAACATCTAGACACCAAACCACAAAACGATATAACAAGGGCACGGTACAGTTTTATGTGAGAATCTCAGACGATTTACTCATTTCGTCATCAGAGAAACTGACTTAAAATCACACCCAAGTGCGACAAAAACATTTCTTTCATCTGATGATGACGTTTATTACCACAGAAAAATTAAACACCTTGCAGTTGGAATTGAAGAATTACCTAGTACGTGAAATATGATTACAGTGTGGGCATAATAGACTTGCATAGCTCGTGACAGATGGTGTTAAAGTAACGTTAATTTGAGTATTACTATAATGATGATATTTGTATGAATATAGCAAGTTTGTGATATTTTCACCCAGGCGGGGTTCTACGAAAGGATAATAGAGACGAGCTCTTGGATGTAAGGGCAAAACGACTGTTTCCGCCCCTATCCTTCTACTTTACCAAGAGTTCATTGAAAATTTAATGTGTAAACATAGGTCATTGTAGGTTGGAATGGTGAACGTTAACACATGAACAGGGTAGTGCAGTGTACATTTTCCGATGAATAAGAAACAAGGACTTTAACTAAAGAATACTATTTCAATGCCATGCCATGCCACACCAATAAAAACGTAATGTTATGGCGATCCATTGAATTACATATAACGTTTACTGTAGTTATGTTATGTTCATATATGTATAATGAAATCTAAGGCTAGTTTAAACAGAACCCTAAAACAGGTCTTTACTACATGTGAGCTTTACATAATTGTATACAGATAATGAGATATGATAAATTACAGAGGATTAATATTGCGTACATACATATACTAGTACTTCATCATGAATTTCAGAAGACGTGGTAACTACGGTACGGAATAATAATACCATTGTATAATTATATGTAAGATTCTGAAAGCTTGTAACTTACGTAAGTTGCAAGTGTTGAAATAAGGACTATAGATTTTCATGCAATGTTAGAATCTACGTGTCACGATAGAAAAGTAGTAATAACTATTTGTGCACATCGGGAAAGGACGGGAAAAACTATAGATTAATTTAAGGGAAAATAACCAAAGAAAAAAGACAAATATCGGGATATCCATGAGTGACTGTAGTAGCCTGGTTACCAGACCTATTTCAGCTCTGGTCTAAAAGCTTTTTGATAGACCAGAGCTAAAATAGGTCTGATATAAAGCAGGCTATGACGGTAGTTGCTTTCGTTACATCAGTTGTCTTATTCGGAAGTTGATCACTGCCCATCTGTCGAGTCTTCAACAGCAATGGCCACTGTCGAACGCAGTCATTCAGACGAGGAGCGTATCTGTAATCACATGCACAGCTCAAATGAAATCCCCAACCAACGCAGTACTTAACAGAGAAATCAAATGCAAAACGGTAGATTACGCAAGTACGAAAAACTGGGAAGAAAAGTGTCTCGGCTCATTCCTCTGTCTTAGCTTCAAAAAAGAAGTCAAACCCAGTAGTAGTTTTTACCAGTAGTTTCTTAGTAGTTACAGTATCAGTAGCTCTATATGTACTAATTGTCTGTTTTCATACCATGTTTCTTCTGTTCCTGCAATTAGCCCTCGGGAAAGAATTTGCAATAAACAAACTAATTAAAGAGTAAAACAGCCAGCTGGCAGGAAAGCAGCAGAAAAGAATGTGAAATATCGAAAAGGTCTATGGGATGTCTAAGAGTTCTATGGGATGGCAAGTTATATATGTTTCCTTGGAGCAAGGAGTTTAACCTCCTTGCTTGGAGTAACACAGATGATTACAGATCGATGATTCCTCATTGATAACATTCATGCAGATTAATTATATGTCAGCTTCCATAAAGTTAGGATGATAATGTATCGTTATTTCTACAAGTTCTACAAATCACGTCCACAGGGAAACCCCTCTACTCACCCATTTGACAGATAAAAGGCTGTCCAATCTGCTTGCAATTGATCAAATTCCAGGCTCTGGAACTAACTTTAGAAATGACAACGCAGTCCCGGTACTTGTGACGACTTGGGACTTTTCGCCAGTTGGTGTAGGAACCTAAAGTTGTCCCGTCACTCCACTTGAAGACTTTCTCCCTGCGCCGGTCATCCAGGCCAATCCAGTAGTTCCTGTGGAACAGAATCTAAATTAGTGGTACCATTCCATGCAAATTAAAACTGGTGCCATCATGAAAGTTCATTTCTGTTGGTAGTTACATGTTTAAAGTTAAAACTTTAGATCCAACACGATAAAGTTCTCTCAGCTAGATCGAGCTTCACTGGACACTAAGGATATTGGACACTGAACAAGACTACTAGTATTTCCTGAGAGGGGTGAAAGAGGCTATTTACATCAGAGCACCCTTCACTCAACCGCGACGGGGGCCGACATCGTCTACCAGATACCTTTGACCCAGTGTTTTAACACTTCAAAGAAGCCATGTGACAAGTCTCACTGGGTCAGTCTACTGAGGAAGACCAGTGAGAGTGTTTGGTCGAAAGATCTAGGTGAGAGAACTTCATTGTGTTGGATCTAAAGTTTTAACATATAGCTGGTGCATTTAACTTAAAACATAAAACTGGTGCCGTCTGTTAGTGTTACATTCCCGGGACAAGACAAGTAGAATATTAAAACTGTGTATGAAATATTCCAACAAGGAAGAGCTTATTTTAATACATACATTCTTTAACGTTTAGCTATTTTCACATATTCTCTCTGATCAATATTCATGATATCCCACTTCAAAGAGACGTAGCAATGTAGTACATAAAGGACATGAACACACCTGTTCCTTCCAAACTTGGCGATGCCGCCCTCAAGTTGGCTTTGCTTGGTAGCACTCTTAACTGTGGGGAGCCTCCCTCCGCGACTGCTGCAAAATGACGCGGCGCTTGTGTACTTGGCTTTATCACTGTACCTTGAGAACCAGTAACAACGGTTGTCGTAGATTGCAAATTGGTCCACTGGGAAGTTTGGATGCTTCAACTTGCAACCTAGAAACGTTACGAAAGTGACGTTTTGTAAATACTAAAACTACAGTAGCCTCTGCTTAAAGGGTACAATTTTGATAAAGTTGCTATGACCTTGAAGGAGGCCAGACAATAAACGTCATTAATGAAAATTTCACACAGTATGTACACCAAGCCACCCGGAGATAAAAACACCAAGTCTCACCGATTTGACAGTTGTTTCCCGTGTAGCCGCTCCTGCACTGACACGTGTACCCGGATGGGGTGAGCTCTCTACAGGTGCCTCCATACCGGCAGGGGTTCGGAACACATGGATCCGGACTCACCACTGCAGTACAAAAAAGTCAGTCAGGCTAATTAAACAGCAACTGTTGATCAGACACTTAAGCTGACATAGAACCAGATGTATCCAGAATATCAGGAAAAAAGACATGAATACTGGAAAACGAGAAATGAAATTCAAGATGGAATTCAGATGGAATTCAAAGATGGAATTCAAATGATGGAATTCAAAGTTGCTTATTGATAACGATGGACTGATTGGTAGATGAACCTTTTATCTAAAGACAAAAGCAAAAGGAGAAGTTGTAGTACGAATAAACTTCTGTCGTACATGTACATCCAGTTCCGCCACTAGCCAGTCCGTCTCCTTCGTACCCAGCGTTACATGCACAAGTTGCATCAAGGGCAGGAGCAGGATTATCTGTACAAGTGGCCTGGGCGTCGCACGGGTTAGCCAGACAGGCGTCTATGTCTGAATATGGAAAGGTCCAATCAGAGTTATTAACTTATACTTATAGCTAGCAATCTACAGAGCTAGGTCGAAAAGGTCACAGAAGTCTACCAAAGGCAACACCATTTCGTAATATTTTGAACATTTCCGTCAAGTGTCATTGGTTTTGCACATTTCAGGCAACATGCAACAAAAACGCAAATGGTGAACTTCTACAGTTTCAATAGACTTTTGTAAAGTCCTACCTGAACATCCAGTTCCACCACTAGCCAGTCCGTCTCCTTCGTACCCAGCGTTACATGCACAAGTTGCATCAAGGGCAGGAGCGGGATTATCTGTACAGGTGGCCTGGGCGTCGCACGGGTTAGCCAGACAGGCGTCTATGTCTGAAGATGGAAATATTAAATTGATATGTATACAAATTTAATAACCATTAACATAGCTTCACAACTAGATCAAATATGAACAATGTACCTATAAAAGACATCACCTTTACATATTATTGTCAAAATTTACCGTGAAGTGTTATTGTAAAATGCAAATATTTTTGACATCCTACCTGAACATCCAGTTCCACCACTAGCCAGTCCGTCTCCTTCGTACCCAGCGTTACATGCACAAGTTGCATCAAGGGCAGGAGCGGGATTATCTGTACAGGAGGCCTGGGTGTCGCACGGGTTAGCCAGACAGGCGTCTATGTCTGAAGATGGAAAGATAAAACTTAATAATCAGTAACATAGCTTCACTTATAGATCGAATATGGACAATGTAACTATAAAATACAATACCATTCCATATTATTTTTAAAATTTGCCGTCAAGTGCCATTGTAAAATACACATATTTTTTACATCCTACCTGAACATCCAGTTCCGCCACTAGCCAGTCCGTCTCCTTCGTACCCAGCGTTACATGCACAAGTTGCATCAAGGGCAGGAGCGGGATTATCTGTACAGGTGGCCTGGGCGTCGCACGGGTTAGCCAGGCAGGCATCTATGTCTGAAGATGGAAAGATTAAATATATATAATCATTAGCATAGCTATCTGCACAGCTAGATCAAATATGAACAACGTCACTATAAAGGACAATACCATTCAAAAAAATGTATTTAAAAAAATTGCCGTCAAGTGCCATTGTAAAATGCACATATTTTTTACAACATCCTACCTGTGCATCCAGTTCCACCACTAGCCAGTCCGTCTCCTTCGTACCCAGCGTTACATGCACAAATTGCATCAAGGGCAGGAGCGGGATTATCTGTACAGGTGGCCTGGGCGTCGCACGGGTTAGCCAGACAGGCGTCTATGTCTGATGATGGAAAGATTAAACTTAATAATGATGAACTAGCTGCAGAGCTAGACCAAATATGAACGATGTAAGTATTAAAGACAACACCATTCCATAGTTGTTTGAAAATTTGCCGTCAAGTACCATTGTAAAATGCACATATTTCTGATAGCATCCTACCTGAACATCCAGTTCCACCACTAGCCAGTCCGTCTCCTTCGTACCCAGCGTTACATGCACAAGTTGCATCAAGGGCAGGAGCGGGATTATCTGTACAGGTGGCCTGGGCGTCGCACGGGTTAGCCAGACAGGCGTCTATGTCTGAATATGGAAAGGTCCAATCAGAGTCATTAACTTATAGCTAGCAATCTACAGAGCTAGGTCGAAAAGGTAAGAAGTCTACCAAAGGCAACACCATTCCGTAATATTTTGAACATTTCCGTCAAATGTCATTGGTTTTGCACATTTCAGACAACATGCAACAAAAACGCAAACAGTGAACCTCTACAGTTTCAATAGACTTTTGTAAAGTCCTACCTGTACATCCAGTTCCGCCACTGCCCAGTCCGTCTCCTTCGTACCCAGCGTTACATGCACAAGTTGCATCAAGGGCAGGAGCGGGATTATCTGTACAGGTGGCCTGGGCGTCGCACGGGTTAGCCAGACAGGCGTCTATGTCTGCAAATCGTGACCAAAAACAATCGTCAACGTATTTACGTCAGATGAAATTTGATAAAGGAATGATGATCGTTTTCTAGTTTTAGGCTATCATATGAGATCATATGGTCACTCAGCACATGTTGTGAAACGCGTACACTTTCATGTATTCAGTCATATGGGTTTGTACTCTGTACTTCTTACCGTTGCAGGTTGGGACGAAGTCGCTCCATGTGCCACTAGCCTGGCAAGTCACACTAGCAGCACCGTCCATGTCGTATCCCTCCGCACAGGAGAAGGCGACGACGTCTTGGTAAGAGTATGGAGGTGAGCCAGAACTCAGGATGACGGGGAGTGTGACCGTTACCAGCGGACATTGCACAACTGCCATTGGGACAAACACAAACGTGAGTGGAGCAGGTGTGCGAGCGGATGGAATTGTCAAAGAAACGTTTATCAACAAATGTTGATGAAAAATTATAACACAAAGTAAGATGAAAACTTGCTGAATACTGAGGAAGAACAAATGTAAGCCTTTCTGTGCCTTACCAAACTTTATACAGCTGTAACAGATTCTGATGAGGTAACTACATGTATCTTTTAATGCTATAGCTACCTTTCACTTGTTAGGTACAAACACTATGGTTTCAGCTGCAGTTTTTGTTTTCCTTTTAATAGATCGGTCCATGGCTTGCATGGCTCTTGGCTGACAGGAAAGGCAAGCTGGGGAAGATGGGTGTACAAGACATGTATGCACTGTCTCTTACTGTTGCAGGTAGGAATCGCTCCGCTCCAGTAGCCGGTAGCCTGACAGGTGATGGTGGAAAGGCCGACAAGGTTATACCCGGTGTCACACGAGAACTCTACTTCGTCCTGGTACACGTACGGGCTGGAGACCGGGCTGAGGGCGCCGTTTAGTGGAGCCGACAGGGGTGGGCACTGGGCAACTGTGGAAAGGCAAAGACGTTACAAACATAGCCTTCGCAGACTTGTGGGTCGGTGGTGTAATTTTTTTTTTTTTTTGCCGTCGAGGGGAGTTTGCCGGGGAGAGAGGTTTTTCG